AAAAACACGAGAAATAAAATACTAATCTGTCGCTAGTCGTTTTTAACAAAGAGAGTGTCGCTAAAATGATTCGAAGAAGTCTCCCGTTCAACTCAGAACAGAATTAGAATTGAAAAATGCTCCCACGGATGCCTATACCAAAAGATCGGTGATTGGCTCATTTCGCTGTCAATCAAAAAGAGATTCAGCCTCAGACAAATCATCCAATCATCATGCAGAAAAGCTGAGCATCCGGTCCAGCCCATAAACGCCCACTGTCCATCGAGTCCCAGAGACGCTGAGCATCCGATGGGTTGGACAAAACCAGCATTTATCCAATGACTCCTCTCGTTTCAATGCATTGGGACGCACATGTCACTGGCGCTAACTTTCTGATCCACGACAAGAGTTAAATTCACAATCAAAGTGTGACATAATTTTAAAGTGGGCCTCTATGGAATTGACACTGTTCCCACACTTATTGCGGTTCATGGGGACTTGGACCCTGCCGCGATAAGTGCAAAACCACGATGGAGCGTTGTTTCCCCCTCAGGAATCTTTGAAGTGTATGTGGGTACCAGCATGTTTAAAATATGTAAACAGGATTTATAGTGATCCCTCGCTATTTCGCGGTTCGTTTATCGCGGCTTCAGTGCATCGCGGATTTTTTCAAACATATTCATTAAAAAAAAAAAAAAAAAAAAATTCATATACATAGTGTCTAATACTGTATATGTTGCTCTCTGTAACTCGCTGTTGTTTTGCTGACTTTCGCAGCTTCTGGCGGACCGTTTGCGGACTTTTTTAAAAAATATATGTTAATTGGTCGCTACTTTGCGGATTTTCGTTTATCGCGGGTGGTTTTGTTCCCCATTAACCGCGATAAACGAGGGATTACTGTATACTTTGCCTATTTGAGACAAAGACTACACCAGTACATGCATGTACTTAAATCTTTAATTATTAAACCTTATATAGTAATTAACATTCATCAGCATTGCCTTTTGAGAGAGAAAGAGGTTTGTTTACTCTCACTTTATGCTGCTCTGACAGTGAAGCCGCCGTTAGCCTCCAGCTAGCTGCTGGCCACCTATCTGTACGCAGCCGGTGTGTTTATGATCAGACAATTAATTGGTGTTGACGAGAAGGAGGCGAAGAGATGCGTGCTGCTTTTTTTGCACAACCCCAATCACCCGCACCCCCTCCTCTCTCTCTCTCTCTGTCTCTCTCTCTCTCTGTCTCTCTCTCTCTCTCTCTCTCTCTCTCTCTCTCTCTCTCTCTCTCTCTCTTCTGCCACACATGTAGCAAACATGACAGTGTCAGTGATAATTTTATAGTTTACCCCCAGCGAGTCCCAGGGACTCACTGATCAGAAAAGTATGAGTCCCATTATGCATTTAGCGAGTCCCAGGGACTCGCTGATCAGAAAAGTATGAGTCCCATTATGCATTTAGAGAGTCCCAAATTTCGAATTCTGAAATGGTCTACTTATTCAATTGCATATGATAATAACACAAACAACAACATATACATACAATTATAAACAAATGCTGCACAAATTTAAATAATTCAGTAGCAGGCCTGAGGATTTCGGAAATTCACAGTCACCATTTTTCGGTTCCGTTGGATTACCCAATGGGAAACCACGGTAACTAATTTTGGGTTCTGTAAACATTCATCATCGGAACCCATTTTTCTATTTTGACTGATATTCATAATCAAGAATTCTGAAACTCAAAAGTAAAATGTTTCAAGGGTAAATGTTCGAAAACTATGCATAAACAATGAACATTACATCAGCGCTGTGTAGGTTTATTCAACAAAATAAATGGATCAAAATATGTTGTACTCATATGGCATTATGAATACAGCATACCACAAAATAAGAGTATTTTTCCAGTCTCACACTGCAAAGATTAATTTACTGGTAATCATTAATACAGGTAAGTATTGATGTGGCTCTCTTCCCAAGACGATGTATGTGTAATCTACTATCAATTTGATGAAAGAATGTAACACATGTCATCATTAGTTCTACCAACAGGTAACATTATCGTTACTACACCTCGTGACGAATGTTTTATTCCTAAAGTTACCATGCTACAACCAGTAAATTATACAATAACCAAGACTGTTTCATCATATTGTTCATAGCGATTAGCCTATAGATCTAATGACCAACTTGCCTCGTAATCGTGCCTCTCGTCGTATCTCGCTCTCGTATTCTGTGCATACGTCACAGGTGAGTTTAGTGATACGCCCTTCGGACGATTCATACGAAAAATCAGACTGCCATTCCCATTTCTTAAATGTCATAATTAGTAGACCTTTGTGAGTTTTTTTCGCCGCCAACTCAAACTTTCATCCGCGTGATCCTCTGTTTTCGGACTAAAATAGCAACCCGCATGCGCACATAACGTTATCTGTTCCGTCCCCCACAACACTGAAAACAAAACAAAACGAAAGTAAATTGGAAGAAACACACTCACACACCACACCACAAACACCCATACAGACACAGTGAAATCGCGTTGATCACACAGGAGAGACTTGATCGCGTACAGTCAACTCGTGTGCGGTGACTTGTATGGTTAAATTATTTTTCGGTACTGTCAAAATGACGCCACGGAAACGACATGCTACCGGTAACGATCGTTACCTTGAAATCCTCAGGCCTGCCGTAGTTTTTTATTGTTGTTGTTGTTTTGACTGACAAATTTCCTTGCGTCCCAGAAACGCACATTATTTGGAACTGTGCGTCCCGTGGGAAAATTATGCATCTAGGACGCGGGACGCAGAGGTAACGAGATAGTTGCAGTGTGATGAGACACTGGTCAGAGAGTCGCTAGCATGAGGAGACACTGATCAGAGAGTCAACAGGGAAGGTGTTGGGTGGGGCTGCGAAGATGTGCAGTCAATCAGCTCATGGGATAAATCCACTTGTGCTGTCATTGGTCGACATCGCGCTGGGAACCAATCATGCGTACAGTCATGTACAAAACCTTTGAGTCATTCAGCATTTTTTTTCTGAATACAGTGCTTTGGAAAAAAAATGCAATGTAGTTAAGACGTGATAAATGCAGCGCGATATACCGAGGGATCACTGTACATGTTTCATGAAAACGCCACAATCCGGAAAGTAGGAAAACCCTCAAACTTCACAGACTCACGCTTCTTTTCACCAGTGATGCTTCCAAGTCTTTCTGTAAATAACCAGTAGAAGTCAATTTGTTAAGGCCAAATCGTAGGTGGTTACCCAAACTCATCCAGCTCTCCGACTAACAATTGTGAATATAAATTGTAATATTGCATCTGTCTTCTTGGGTCTTTCAGACATCAGCGAAGATGCTTGTCTTGACTGGCTGAATGCAGAGCCCTCTCATATGAAAGAGGAAGAGGAGAAAAAAGAGGAGCAGTGCCCCTACATCAAAAAAGTGAAGGAGGAGCCGGAGCATCCTCGTGTGAAAGAGGAGGGCGATAAGCCCCCCTACATCAAAGAGGAGGAGGATATCTGCAAGTTGCCATCACCTGGTGTCCCCTTGAAAAGTGAAGATGAAGATCAAAGTGATGCTAACAGAGTGGCGGAGCCTCTAAGCAGCAGATTCAAATACAATGGTGAGAAACATTTTTCTTGCTCAATTTGTGGTCAAAGATTCTCTTTTCGGGTCATTGCAAAACACACAAAAACACACACTGGTGAGAAACCTTTTGCATGCTCAGTTTGTGGACGAAAATTCTCTCAAAAGAAATACTTCCAAAAACACACAAGAATACACACTGGGGACTAACCATTTGCCTGAACAATTTGTGGTCTGAGATGCTCAGTGAAGGAAATATTAAAAGAACACACAAGAACACACTGGTGAGAAACATTTTTCCTGTGCAGATTGTAGCCAAAGATTCTCTCATAAGACAAGCTTAAAAACACACACAAGAACACACACTGGGGAGAAACCTTTTGCCTGCACAGTTTGTGGTCGGAGATTCACATGGAGGGTTCACATTGAGAATCATAGGTGTGTTGATGAGATGAGTAGTCATCAGTGACGTTTACACCCCTCATCTGAGCAGGCTTCATGAGTTCCTGCACTAAGGCTGATTGTATTCTACGTACCTTCTTATAGAGATGCTGAACTTAGTTGTGTGCATAAATTACGCTAGTTACATCTGTGCTTCCACAGTGTTGTTAATACATATTTTAGGTTTGCAAAACATTGCGAAAGGGCAACTTTGTCTAGGTCGTGTGTTTCAATGCCACGAAGACCACCATGCGTGAGTTCCTCGAATGGCAGCGGCTGTGATCGACTGACGGTTTTGGTTACGAAATTAAACCATGAGCTTAAGTGTTTTATATTATAAACATCACAGGTGCCTCCAATTCATTCTCTACTAAGGTGAATTTAGGTGTTGATATTTGATAAGAAAAATGCTTGTGTCATTGAAATGTAACAAGACTACACTGGAATGTAAAGACTTAGTTTGTTTAATTATTTGACATGTTTGATGGCTGTCAACTAAAATGTTTATTGTTGTGAAGGGCATAAATCCAATGTAGTCCGAATCAATTACCAGTTTGACATTAACGTAAAATGTTGTTTTTCTAATATTGTTGTGTGATTTGTTCAAATAGTTCCCCAAGTTGTTCTGAACCCACATTGTTTTTTGTTTTGTTAATAAAGTGAAGTTTTGATAATTAAAATGTTGAGTTTACTTGTAAAGGTTTGTTGCGCAGATATTGTCCGCGACTGAGTACGAATGTTTACTTCTTTTCAGTTTTGCTGTACTTAGTTTTTCATGTTACTATTTTTCATCTAGTCAATTGTATTTTAAGGCAAAGTCGCAGTTCATCGCGGCCGCCATTCTCGTTTGTTACGCAGTCGTCTCAGTTGAGTGTGGTGTGTTCAAAGACACTTCGTAAATGAGAATGAGTGTATTCGTTTTCTCTTTTATTGGATATACCAGCGGTGGCCAACTCGCGACTCGCGAGCCGCATGCGACTCTTTGGCTGGTTCAATGTGGCTCCCGGCTTTCACACCACAAGCGTCAAACGCCTTGGCGGTGGCAATGTCATTCAAACAATGGCGCTAAATACACAGAACGTATTACGTCAGCCTATCATCAATCCCATTACTTGATTGACATAGAGGGCAACCAATCAGTTGACTAAATCAATGCTCACGCGCAAACAACAACGGTAAGCGCTAAGACAGTCAGCGAATTACCTCTGTTTTTAAGGCAGGGGTGCCCAATATGTCGATCGCAATCGACCAGGAGCCAGCGGACTGGTTCCAAGTCAACCGCAAGGGGTGGGAGGAGGAAATGGGGGCTGGGGGCAGGGAGAGATTTGTGTGTTCGTGTCTTTAGATTTCGTTCATGTTCGGGCCATTCCGGCGGTTGCTTATCATGGCGTGCGTGCATATATGTGTGTGTGTGTGTGTGTGTGTGTGTGTGTGTGTGTGTGTGCGTGTGCTTTGGGCAAAAAAGCGTGTGTGTGTGTGTGTGTGTGTGTGTGTGTGTGTGTGTGTGTGTGTGTGTGTGTGTGTGTGTGTGCGAGGACAGGATGCCTGTGTGTATGTGGCTCTTTGCAGAAACACAGTAAATAAAATGGCTCTTAGTCTTTGACTGTTTGGCCACCCCTGGGATATACAGTAGTTGTAAAATTGGATTACTGGGATTATCAGTTTTTATCATCATGGTTTAGTTCAAATTCTATCCGATCACACATCTCTATTTTATTTTTTATTAAAGTAGAGAAAAAATCATGAAATTACTACATGTTATTTTTGCGCAAACGTAGGGCGGAATGTCCTTTGGGCATTGACAACATCATGATAAAGTTGAAGTGGTGGATGTCATGGCGAGATTGGCAAAAAGTACTTTTCAGTCACTAAATCGCTCCGTTTTCCGTCTACTTCAGTTCAGCAGTCATTGACTTTTGAGTCGGCCACGATCTCTTTCAATGCCTCCTGTGAACAATTTTTGACAACTTGCCCTCTGTGTGTCAAAGACTGGAAGCAATAGGCCTGTCTTTATGATATTGACATAATCTTTTCTTTTTTGAACATTATTCGTAAAAAAGAAAGCAGCAAAAACAAACCTACAACTGACATGTATAATAAATTTACGTCAGTAATTTTCACTTGGAGTTACCTTGTGACCTTGTACATCCAACAGTTGACATTAAAAAAAAGTGAAAATGCAATTGAAACTACATTTTGAACATTGTTTGCTTTTTTTGACTTCACTTTAAAAATAAAAATAAAAAAGGTCGAGAAACCCCAAACGCACTGTAATGCAACACACTGGACTGAGAGGGAAGGGCAATTTTTCTCGTTCTTTTTCATTCCAAAACATCTTCTTGTGCCTGACAGAATCGTCTTCGTCTCTTGTGGTGAATTCCAAGTTGTGACCTCCACATTTATTACACTATAAAAATTAAATGGAATGTTATGAGACCAGTTTTTTATGTGCAACAACTATGCCGACATTTTCGAGAGGTTACTAGCCCAAGAGCGACATCAATTGGTGAAACTAATTTGAAAAAAAAAATCGAGCTATAAGCTGTGAAGATTTCTTCCTTTCATATTCACTGTTTTCTACGGAGCCCATAGGGGACATGGAAGAAAAAAAACAACTTTGCGTTCCCTCGCACCAAAATGGCTGGCGCTGGCCCTGCTCATGTCAAAAGTTTTCTTGACCATAATATGGAATATGGGTGACCAATTGAATCAGGGGGGTCGACGGATACACGATGCTTGACTGACTTTGACACCGGTGAAATAAAACAACATTGTCTTGAAACATTTTGGGTTGTTTTTGGCCAGCTTGTACAGCTCAATCGTCACTGGCATTTCTTGAGGTACAGCAGGGTTTTTTTTTCAGACTGGAGGAAGGCCAAAACTGAGACCAGAAGTTTTACGGTGTCAATTTGGAAATAAATCGAACTATTGACTGAGCCATGTAAACCAGGTTTTTCTGATTAGCGCATCACTGAAGTGCATGGAAACGCATTACCTAAACATGGCTGTGGTTATTGTGGTCATCTCAATATGGCTGGAACAAGATCATTAAACAATTGTTATTTAAAACATTGACTTACCTGCAAATGACGCGCGAGCATCATCTCACTGTTTTTTTTTTCCTTTTCCTGTTTTCCAATGATTGATGCCCTTTTGACGACATGTCCTGATATCCAAAAATAAGCTTCCGCCGAACTTGCGACTGAAGTATAACAGAACAAACTACTTGGGAATGAAATAGAGGTGAGTGGCAGGCTCCAAAGGTTGACTGGCAAGACGTCCGCACAAGAGTTGAATCTTTTTTCGCGTAAATAAGGAGCTATTCGTTGAACGTGTGCCTTATTATCCAAAGCGCCTTATAGTGCAGAAAATACGATACCTTGTTCCCCGAAAGGAGATCAAAATGCTCCCGCACAATGGGCAACTTTCGTTTCCCCTGGAGCTGGAATTTTTCTTTATGTGGGTACCAGCATGTTTAAAATATGTAAACAGTGATTATACTTCACATATTTGTGACAAAGACTACAATAGTACATGTCTTTACTTAAATCTTTAATGATAAAACCTAATCCAGTCATTAACATTAATCAGCACTGCTCCCTGAGAGAGGCGAAGAGACTTACGATAGTGGCGTCGATGGCAGCTCTCTGACGGTGAAGCCGCCATTAGCCTCCAGCTAGCTCCTGCCAGCTACCCCCGCACAGTCGATGTGTTTATGATAAGACATCTAATTGGTATTGATGAGGAGGCAAACAAAAACGGGCAACTGCTTTTGGTGAAGCCCAAGCCCAATTTCTCTCTCTCTCCTCCTCCCTCTCTCTCACTCTCTCTCACTCTTTCTTTCTCTGCCCGCCACGCATGGAGCAAATAGAAGAGACAGTATGCCAGAGAATCAACAGCATAACAAGACACAAGGCTTCCCGAGTGTCTCATCATGCTGGGCGGGGCTGCGAAGATGCGCAGCCAATCAGCTCACAGGATATATCCACTCATGCTGTTATTGGTCGACATATCACCAGAGACCAATCATGCGCCTTGAATGAGTGCCCGTTGCCGATACAGTACAAAAACATCTGAGTCGTTCGGCATTTTTTTCCTGAATACAGAACTTTGAGAAAAAAAACGTGAAGTACTGAAGCCGCGAGAAATGAAGCGTGATATAGCGAGGGATGACTGGAAAGTAATTGCTTTTGTTTCGCGGTTCAGAAACACCTGCGAAAGGTGAAAAGCACGAGGCAGAATTTGTGCCCTGGACTTATCCACCACTCAAAAATGTGCAATGTCACACTCTGTACAATCTTTTTACAAATATCCAAGGACAAAAAAAAGAATTAATTAAACCACCACCTTGCATTCAAATAGTCACATAAAGAAAGAAAAATCCACCACTATGTGATGCTGGTAATGTCACATATTGAGTTGTAATCTGAATTTATCTAGTTCTCCGAGTAACCTTCATTGAAATTATGAACCAGAATTCCAAGTGTGTTTGTCTCCTTGTGTCTTGCAGACATCAGCAAAGATGCTTTTCCTGAGCGGCTGGATTCAGATCCTTCTCAATTTAAAGAAGAAGAGGAACAGCAGGCCCTTTACATGAAAAAAGAGGAGGAGCCAGAGCACCCTTGCACGAAAGATGGTGACAACACATCATCAACTGTTGATGAAGATCAGGATGAAGAGTCTGATGGTGATCTGACATCTCACACTGACAACAAACCCTGGAAATGTTCTCGGTGTGGGAAGATGTTTACTTGTAGGAGTGCTTTGAAAACACATGTGAGAACCTGCACAGGTGAGAAACCTCTTGCCTGCTCAGACTATGGCCGGAAATTCTCTCAGAAGGGATACTTAAGAAAGCACGTCAGAACTGACACTGGTGAGAAACCTTTTGCCTGTTCAGATTGTGGGCGAAGATTCTCTCTGAAGGGAAGCTTAAAAAGGCACACAAGTGTCCACACTGGTGAGAAACCCTTTGGCTGTTCAGATTGTGGGCGAAGATTCTCTCTGAAGGGAGACTTAAAAACGCACGTCAGAACTCACACTGGTGAAAAACCTTTTGCCTGTTCAGATTGTGGCCTAAGATTCTCTCAGGGGGGAAGCTTAAGAAGGCACACAATTGTCCACACTGGTGAGAAACCCTTTGGCTGTTCAGATTGTGGGCAAAGATTCTCTGTGAAGGGAGACTTAAAAATGCACGTCAGAACTCACACTGGTGAGAAACCTTTTGCCTGTTCATATTGTGGCCTAAGATTCTCTCGGAAGGGAAGCTTAAGAAGGCACACAAGTGTCCACACTGGTGAGAAACCCTTTGGCTGTTCAGATTGTGGGCGAAGATTCTCTCTGAAGGGAGACTTAAAAAATCACGTCAGAACTCACACTGGTGAGAAACCCTTTGGCTGTTCAGATTGTGGGCGAAGATTCTCTCTGAAGGGAGACTTAAAAAATCACGTCAGAACTCACACTGGTGAGAAACCTTTTGCCTGCTCAGTTTGTGGCCAACGATTTTCATGGAAATATCAGATTAAAAATCACAAGTGTGTTGATGAGATGAACGGTTCTCAATGACATTTTTACCTCTCATTTGAACAGGCTTCATGAGCCCATGTACCAAGGCTGATTGTATTTTATGTACTTTTCCTTGAGTGCATGTAAAAGTTATTTTTTTTTGGTCGTTGTCATGAAGTAGAATATCTTGCATTGTTGTTGCCTTCTTCATACTTTTGGATTCTTCATTATAGTTAGTTTTTATTTGGCTTTGAGTTACAATTTTTAAATGTAGTTTGTTGGAATTCATTTTCAGAGGAGTTTTAGTTGTTTAATACAATTCTGACTTTTTTCTTTCTTTTTTTTAAATTTCAAACTGAAACGTCCTTGTCTGGATAGCACCCAGCATTTTGAGATGTTTTTCATTGTTTTTTTAAATTTTATTTCCTGAATAAAATGGACATTTTCTATTTTATCATGAAATGTGTGTTGAAGCCATATGTATTGATGTTTGATATTGTGTGTTGCTTGCTGGCCAATAAAGATCTATTTGCTCAAAAACTTGGATCAGCCAAGTCTTCTTCAATATGACCCATCTCAGTATCAGTGAGATTCATGACTTGTGAGGCACCGTTTCCCTGCAGTGAGGGGACAACATTTAAATGCAGGCATTTAAATGTTGACCTTCATTATAAGATAAGAAAACCTGAATTAGTCTCATAATGGAGAAATTCCCAATTCACAGCAGCAACGTTATGAAAGGAAGAAGTAGAAGAACAAAATATAGGAGATGCTGTATAGGCAGCCACTCTCGCGGCGCCAGCTTGAAGTCAAAAAAAAAATAATACAACACAATACATAAGACACAGATAGTCATGCAATCTTAGCCACTTTTCTGCATCCTCTTTGTCGTATGAAGCAGTTATAGATGAAAGAGGAGAGGATCAAAGTGTCCTTTTACCAGTAAATCAGGATGTCATGCTGAAAATGTGCACACGTCTGCTACAAGCTAAGTTTGAAAGCAAACAAGAAGCTGTTGCGTCCATTGTCGAACGAGAGGTTGGGTCACATCTCCTGTCCCACATAATCCGCTTCAATTCCAATCCCCGACTCCCAGTTCCACATATGCATCGGCCCTCTGTGCTGACGCTCCTTTCTTATCATCGTCGGCTCCTCAGGCCATGCATCCATCCAGCCGCAGACTATCCAACAGCACCGACCTCTCCGCTGAACAAAGCGGGGCTGTGAAAAATGCTGCCCATTGCAGGCCCAAAAAAAACACATGCGCCTCAGAGCTGTCCAGCACTGACAGTCAAATGGCACAGACATTCCTCCCAATCAAAAAGAGTGCTGGTATACCCGTGCTGCCGAGAAGGCACAACCACCAAACACTGAGTCTTCTCCTTGATGAATGCCATGGCCGAAAAATGCTGAAAAACAATCCACATCCGGTCCACATGACGTAACAACAAACACAAAGTGACAAAACAAAACACAAAAACAACAAAAAAAGCAAGGCTCATGAGATGCACTTACCGACGGCTGCCTACTCGGGCACCATCTTGGACTTCATGTTTCAAAAAGATGTTTCAAATAAGCTCAGAATGGAATTTTTGAACGCCGCTTTGAACTGCGAGGTCCAACCCCCGAAGTCAGGAAAAAAAAAAGACCCCAAATGCACTCATCAGAGAGGATCCCCATGGAGACAAAGACTGTCAATGACAAAACATCATCCATTCATCCATTTGCCATTCCACTTAGTCCTCACAAGGACCGCCGGCATGCTGGAGCTTATCCCAGCTGTGTTGGGGCAGCAGGCGAGGGACACCCTGAACTGGTTGCCGGCCAGTCACAGGCAACACAGAGACAATTAACCATTTGCACTCGCAATCACACCCAGGGACAATTTAAAGTGTTTCATTAACCTGCCTCGCACGTTTTGGAAATGTGAGAGGAAACTGGAGCACCCGGAGAAAACCCACAAAGGCACGGGGAGAACATACAAACTCTACACAGGAAGGACGGGGCCGGAATCGAACCTTTCATCTCTGCACCGTGAGGCCGACACGCTCACCAGTTGACCACTACGCTGCTGCAAAATATACAAGATAAAGTCTTTAATTGTGATTACATTCATTTATTTGACATAACGTAGCACAACGTGATATGCGCTTATTGCCACTATCTCCATGCATGAATTTATCTGGTCAAATGAATGTGGAAGATACAATATTCCACTATTTATAGGTATCTGTTAAACACAGAAATGTGAGTGAGGGATTACTGTATTTATCTGTTTCATATTTATTCCTTGACTCTTCATTATTTTCATTTATGATATGGGGTGTGTTTTTCAATCACAAAATTTTTATCTTCTCTAAAATATTGTGGCTAGTTCATTTTTCTACAAGCCATCATTTATTCAAGAATTTCAAATTTTTTGTGCCTTGTGACTCCTGTGTCATTCTAATAGTTTATGTTAATGTTATCTTTTGCTTGTTCCTATAATATTTACGAATTTATTTTTGTATCTCTTATCATTGGGTTCAGCAGCTTTTGGATGTCAAGTTTTCCTTCTGTCAGGTTCATCAATTAGACCAGTGTTTTTCAAACTTTTTTGAGCCAAGGCACACTTCTTTCATTGGAAAAATCTCAGGGCACACCACTAGCTGAAAATGTGAAAAAAACGCTTGTTTGAATAATTAATGTGTTATATTGTTACTATAACCGTTTTTAGCATTGAAGAATGACATTATAACAGCTTGAATTGGAATCAAATGAACATAAAGAAAAAAGTATTTTCTCATCTTTCATATTTATTGTGTCACCGTCGTCCTGCATTCATGCGTCACAAATTCGCTTGTCTCTCGTCTAAACACAAGGCCATCGGCTACCTGTTGCTGCTCCCTAGCGGTACGGGAGGGTACTACACGATTAATTTCTGGGCGATAGACGGCACAGGCATACAAATTGGATATTTTCCCGCGGCACACCTGACAATGTCTTGCGGCACACTGCTGTGCCGTGGCACAGGGGTTGAAAAACACTGAATTAGACATTCACAAATAAAACACAAGGAGGAGACAGGAGACTCAATTCTGGTACCAGTGGGGAACAAGGAGAAGAAGCGTTCGGTTTCAGTTCTCTGCACATCACCCAAGGATCTCCCCGCTCGCCCCCTCATTTATTGGGAATCGAATACATGGGTGTGTCCAACCTAAAGGGTGAGGGCTGTTGAAGATACACTGAACTCTTTTGACTATGGGTGTGTATGTGAGTTACTTATGAGTTTCTCTGGATGTAGAGTGTTCATGTCCTCTTTTGAATCACCAATAAAATAAGGAAGCAAAAGCCTTTGAAAAAAAGTTCCTTTCTTGGATTTTTGTTGATATCATGACACATTTTACAGCTCACTGGCATGTAAAAAGCGACAAGTTCTAACACGAGTGCAGGAGGAAGAGGAAGGCGGTGGTGTCGCGCTGGCTACTCTGGTGCGCCAAACCACAGGCCCAGTGTCTTAACCAGTGTTGTGTCCAAGGACCGGCAACCCGAGGCCAAGGCCAAGGCCAAGGACTTGCCTCCGAGGCCAAGGCCAAGGCCAAGGACTTGAGAAATTTTCCGAGGCCAAGGCCAAGGACCAAGGACTTGCTTCCAAGGCCAAGGCCAAGGACCAAGGACTGATTTTGAAACTGAGGCCTAGCCAAGGACATGTATAAAACAATGCTGTCATACCACTTGGCAGGTCCTCATGATTTGCAACACCCCTCCATCATAACCCTTTGCACTCCCTAACGCTTGAATGAAGTGTTTTTATTCAAAGAGTAGAACAGTCAGGGTACATGTTATTTATACTGAGAAAAAGAAATAAAATCATATGATATACATTGATGAATTAATGTTTTAGTGCAG